AAGAATGGAAGAAAAACTTAGCTATGTTCTAAAAAGGTTTTATGTTTTATTAGAGGCAATATTTCGTGTGCACGTGTGCCCAAGATTCGATACATGTCCTTTGGACCTGTGTAGCTTAATTATGAAGGAACGTACTGTGGGTATAAATAGCATGATAGCAGAATAATCGGAAAGGAAACTGAAACCTTCCATCATCTGTTACTTGAACTTGATGCAATTAGTAGGACAAGGAAAAATAAAAGAAACTGGGGAAAATGTGAGCCTTATAATTAGATACCGTTTTGTAATGAAGAAACAAAACCTCTATGATTTAAAATCAACGTAATCTTGGTGTTATTTTAAAGCATTTCTCAGTATTCTAAGAATGAATGGCCAGTTAACTGTGATTACTTTATAACTACTCTTTGTAATATAATTTTTCTCAAAAAAGTTTTACTTACAAGAAACAACAAATTGTTATGGTATAAAAAAAAAAGAAAGAAGTTAACCCTCGTCATTCATCAGATAATTAACTTTACAGTGGTGTTTGTGTATGGTTCGGGGAACCCTTTTTTTTTAGCATCCAAATTTAATAGCTAGCCTGTTTTTATAACTAACTGTACAATCGTATTTTTAAAGAAGTTTTTGAAATATATAAATTTTAAAATGAAAATTAACTTACTATTCAACGAAATATTTTAATATCTAACATATTACAGGAAATAAAGAGCATTAAGACCAAAATTTTATTACCGTACGGGATAATTTCGGGAAATTTGTATTTCGTTTTCAAAGTTTTGTGAATCATTGTGAATCGCCCTGTAACCAACAAATTCATGAACCACGGGCAATTTAGTGCATAAATATTTTAGGGTTAAATGGTTAGCTTCTAACTGTTTGTTTTTAATTAAACACAAAGCTACACAATGGGCTATCTGTGCTCTGCCTACCACGGGTATCGAAACTCAGTTTCTAGCGTTGCAAGTCCGCAGAAACACCGCCGTGACTCTGGGGGGCCGTTTTAAAAGGTGCCAAGAAAAAAATATCAAACAACGTATGTCTAAGATGTTTTCGGACTGAATATTATTATTTTTTATATATAATTTGAAATATGAAGTAACATATGATTATTTAAAACACGTGAACTGATTAAACTTATTTTATTAATTGTAACATATAATTATTTAAAACACACGGCCAGGTCACAAACTTCAAGGTTCAGTCACATCCGTCCCTAAGGAAGAACTGCTAATAAAAAGGATGGTAAGTAGGCAGAAGCACACACCGCCTACCATATCCGTCCCTAAGGAAGAACTGCTAATAAAAAGGAGGATAAGTAGTCAGGAGCACACACCGCCTACGCAACTACTCTTAACTAGATCGACTGTCACTACAGCCGAAAATTTAGAACACGTTCAGCGGAGTACTGCAAGCTCGAACCTTGGACCTTTCGATCCACACACTAACCGCTAGGAATACAAAATTAATATCTTGTATCCACATCTTGAAAAAAAAAAGAGAAACTCAAATAGTACTGAATACTATGTTTTTTATTATGAAGAAGGTGGGGGATCGCACCATGTTTTATATACCTCTGGTGCCAAAGGTGAAAACAACAGACTAGATAGACACATTTGAACTTACACTATTTCATATTTCACCATAGCTCGATGTTACTAAAATAATTTTCATCAGTTTTAAATAATTATATGTTACAGTTAATAAAATAAGTTTAATCAGTTCACGTAATCCAAGTGTCGCATAAGTTGCCGGTCAAGTTAAAAGTACCATATATATATCTTCAAAAACTAAATTAAAAATAAAAACTCGCAAAATAATTATGAGGTATCTCTTATAGGCGGATGTATACATAATACAAAGTTTAGACAGTACATAATACGCAGGCTAAAGGCACAATAAGAAGCCATCTTTTGTTTAGTTTCTAATGATCATATACGCATACTCTTCGTGAAGTTTAGCCCGGCATGGCCAGGTGGTTAGAGCGCTTGACTCGCAATCTGAGGGTCACGGGTTCGAATTCCCGTCCCACCAAACATGCTCGCCCTTTCAGCCGTGGGGGCATTATAATCTGATGGTCACTCCCACTATTCGTTGATAAAAGAGTAGCCCAATAGTTGGCGGTGGGAGGTGATGACTAGCTGCCTTCCATCTAAATCAGGGACAGTTAACGCAGATAGCCCTGGTGTAGCTTTACACGAAATTCAAAACAAACCCAAACAATCGTTCCAGAAAATAAATGCCCTTAAGAAACAAGACAATTAGTGTATCTAACGACAATTTACTTCCGTTCTTACAAACTAGCTCGTGACCTAGTTAATAATTGTTTTTGTTAATTATATATACATATATATAACGAACAAAACAGGCATAAATTTTAAAATGGTATGTATGAATCATTGCTGCAATGAAGGTAATATTTTATCATTGTTTTATTTTAAAATAAAAGGAAACACCAGTGAGCCAATTTTAAGTTTGTTATTCAAAGTATTTTTTCAAGGTTATGCGCCACTCATTAATCGATACTATGATTGATAAATATTACAACTTGAACAGGTAAATACAGCTCAACTGTGAAATAACGCGTTTACATTTCCTTAATGATACTCAATTAATAAACTAATTAAGATTTTTTCGAATTTTCTTTCGAGATAAAGGTAGTTCAGTAAGAGCTCGAAATAATACCGGGAAAATGTTTTATAAAATTAAGTTACATTTGTGTTTCTTGACGTAAGTTGAACTTAAAGATTAAGAAATTGTGTATTTATGTATCAATGGAAAAAAAAAAAGCTCTTAAGGGGGTGTTATTCTGATTATACGATTGTTTTGTTATAGATTAAATCTACACAATGGTTTATGTGCACTTTGTCCCTCAAGGGGGGAAATCGAACCACGGACTTTAGCGTTATATGTCTGTAAACTTACCGTTGATTTATTGGGAAACAATTATATTGAAGTCGAATAAACTTAGTGGAATTTTGTTGTTAATTTGTTGATAATTATCAAAGGCATTTTCCGGTTTGAAATACGATGTT